AGGAGCAGTAAAATATTAAAAGGCGCGCCATGAATGCAGAAAGTTATGATGCATTTATATGAAACAGTTGCAAATCCTGATATCCACTTCGCTGATAAATATCTTGTGGGTTCTCGTGGGGCATTGAATTTTTTTCCAGAGTTTAGCCAGAAAAGGTAGATTTGCAGAACCCACTGATTTAGAGGCCGTAGAGGCCCACCCTGATTCAGATAGCATGTAGTGCATCCTTATATGGCAGGCCGCTGCATCCATGTTCTCCATCGAATCCCCCACGCTAAAGGAATTCGTCAACCCTGAAGGAAAGGAGCATTCTCTATCACACATTTTCTTGCTACATTGGGTCCAACTGTAGGGACACTTTTAATCAATGTTTTTTATGTAGCATAGAAGGCATCCATGAAGAACTGGCGCCACATTGGTAATGTGAACCCTGAGTCTACCATGCTTTTCTCATGTACTTGAGCTACAACATATTGCATACATTTTTCTAGGCTATGTCGTATGCTCTCTGTTTTTGTGTTTCTTGTTTCTGTTCTTTTTCTTATATAATGCGTAAATGTGAATTTATAGGAAAGAGGTACGGCAATACTAAAAGTCGATTCATTAAAAAAACGAATTCAGGTGGCTGGTCCATTGTACAGATAAATTTGGCAGCATAACTCTGGATGTAGAAAGAGCCAGAATGTGCTGCACTTCATTAATTTATTTTTGCATTGGGAAACATGAACAACAACAAATGTAATTTTTAATGCACACTGGTGATATCACGTCCGGGAGCGACAGAGGAACTTGGCTGCAAACTAAAAAACATTGTTATTCAAGCAGGTCCGCATCCCAACTTGAGCAATACTTCTTTTCCTTTGCAGCCAGTCTCCTGTATGAGCTGCAATTCTATGACAGAACATTACTGCAGGGTCGCTACATGTCTATGAGTAAATTAGAAACTTGGCTGGCTGGCTTTGTTACGTTTTGCCACGTGACGTCGTTACCGTGGATTTACAGACGTTTCCTTTTTCTTTATCTTATCTCGTAATTACGAGATATGGTGTCAAATTTTTTTTTTATCCAGTGAATGCAATGCGCTTCCGTACATACAGAGTACGTAGATTCAAAAAATATTTAAAGGATTAGTTTGACAGTTTGGGAAATACACCTTACTGCTTTCATGCAGATAGTTAAATGAGAAGGTCAATACCACTGTGATATCTGTAAGATAAATATGAAGCTACCGCCAGAAGCCTGTTAGCTTAGCCTAGCACAAAGACTGGAAACAGGGGGAAACAGCTAGCCTTTCTCTCTTCAAAGGTAACGAAAAATATCCTCAGCTAAGCTAACCCGCTTCTGACTCCAGCTACATATTTACATGATAACTGTTCCTTTAACTAATAGATACAAAAAAAAACATGAAAGATAAGTACAACTTAACCTAAATATACTGAAACAGTCATCTTTTCTCTGGAATTCACCTCATTTTTCCAGTTGCGTCCCAGGAAGTGTTCGGCGACGTGAGCAGGCAAGACGTTCTCCAGCAGAACCCGGTTGAGGTTCTCCATGGTTTCAATCTCCTCACACTCCCTCTTGAACTTGTCCCTCCACAGGAAGTCCAACCTACAGTAATATTCATTCTGTTACAGGAGGACACAGAGTAAAGAGACACCTGCGTCATTCACACCCAGCACTCTGCTCCAAAGCGACAGGCCACAGAGGAAACCTACACCAAAATCAAGAAAAGAAACCGGAAAGCAGTCATTTCTAACCGACAGTTAAACTGTATTTGGACTGGAGGCTGATCGGAGGAGCCACAAATGTATCTTGAGTCAGCCCCCTATACAGTAGTCCTCCAGCTACAGACATCGGTCCAATGATTTGAGAGCGTTTCTTAGAGATAGGCCGCCTGCATTCTGTTCTAATCACTGCCGCCGAATGGAAACTGGACAGGATATCTGGGAAAACGTAACCAACTGAAACTAAAGGTCTTGCTTGATATTCATAGAAAATTAATGTCCCGATAAGACGACAATGAAATGAGAATGCTCTCACTGCTCAAGGAAATAGTAAGCAGGCAGGAGTGTTTTGCATAAAAGATGCACTTGTCTTTTTTTATGTTTTGGTTATAAATGCTTGAGGGAGCTTTCTATCTTCATCCCAGGAGTGTGTGCTTCAGACGGGATCCCCTGAACACAAAATCAGTATGCTCGTATACACAAGCTCCAGGCTACCGGTGGGCTAGCCATTTGCAGTGTGTGTATGGATGTGTGGGAGCGATTTTAGTCTCCTGTGAGATATATTTCATGCGTGTAGTTAACAGTCTTCATGATGTATATGTGCACTGACTACCTTTCCCCTTGAGATTAAAGTATGGTGCCAAGTTAGAAGGCTCCAACAGTGTAGGCCCATACTGCTCTGTGCTATAGTGTTGATAGCCTGAGGCTGAAATAGAAATATAGACTATCCTCCAGCTCTCTAAGGACAGTTAGTTTGGACCATTTGTGCATGTACAAATCTGTGTATGTACAGTTAGAGTACTTGCTTCTGTGGAGCTCCAGTATTTCCAGGAATCTAGAAAGTAGGCCAGAAGAAACGAAGCTCATTCCGGATGCCGTTGAGAAACCAGCTAACAAGCCTGTAAATGAGCTTTGCTCCATCGTGCATCTGTTCTTGAGGGATGAATTACAGATGCCTCTGTTCTCCTAACCTGCTTTCTACTCCCTCTGACTAAATGGTTAGAAATGGGCTTATTAGGGTTGACGATGAACATTTTTGCAAGGCAAATTCGTTAACAGCAGACTAAAAGCATGTAAAATGGTTTCTCCTGGGCCTCGTGCCCTCGTATCCGGCACCGATTTACGTACTTGTGCATCAAGGGCCTCGGATGACGCCACTTTTAACACCTTTTGACCCGATTCCAGAATTATTTCGATGATAACTGATAAAGCATTTTACTGCTCTAATTTATACCCAAACAGCATCCGGAAGGACATACCCAAATAATCCTGAAAGACCTCGATAAGAGCGCAGCCCATAATAAGATATGACAGTAACAAAGAGTTTACCACAGCAAAGTTGGGTTTTCTAGCAGTGGCAGTGACCCAGAATGAGAACAACACATGGCGCTGTTTGGATCAACTGTGGTTCTCGGGGGAGAATGTTTCGGGCACAGAGCCTCTTGGGGGAGATACTGTCCAGAACATCTGCTTTGGGGTCAGAGCTGATGGATTGTACCCCAAAAAAGATAAAACACACACACCAAATCTGTGTCAGCTGAGTTTAGCTCTCATATAAAGTGAGGGTGGTGGACACGGAGGAGATGGAGGCAGTGGGCCAGGCTGGCTGCTCCAATGCTACAAAAATGTTCATCTGAACGAGTATTTTGATCTGTAAGCACATCGAGCCAAATCCTTGAAGACAGGTTCACTTGCTTCCAAATTTCTCTCTGGAGTGAAGATCATTTCAAATCCACTGGTATCAAGTCTCATAAAAACATCTTTCCTCAAGCAGAGATTATTCTGTAAAACAAGATTCTGTGACAGCGCTGAATAGTCTAAAAAGATGAGGATAGTAACTGTACCAACGTAAAGTTATACCTGATATTGAAAATATGTGCTATAATTATATACCACTGTCACATAGTGATGTCTAATTGTGTTATTGTGGTGGCCAGTTTAAGAAGACTACTCACCTGCCTGGCTAATACCAGCAGGGTGATGAAGAAGATGAAAAGAGACACAGAACCCATCGTTTTTAGATCCTTCAGCACTCCTGGTCTGCACAGAGAGAGAGAGAGAGAGAGAGAGAGAGAGAGAGAGATAATACATTTATCACAGTGTTAATTGTCTGCTGTGAGATCAGTTCTCGTTGCTACAGTTGGATGTTTGATCTTACTGTGACACTAGAAGGATGTTTTCGCATTCATCTGCTGAAAGTGGAAATCTTTTTTCAGCCTTATTTTTAAATGAACCTGCGGTTTTTTACATGTTGTACGCTTTAACTATTACAGTACCTATGTACTTGTTACATTACTGCCAACTATGTAATTTCCCATCCATCCTGACAGTCTTTTGTTTTAGTCCTCATTATGAAAATCAATTTCAACTTCAAGAGAACATTTTTATCTGATTTCATTTCTATCAATTACTGCACTGTATGGTAATACTGTGTTGTAGTTTTAAAGGCTGAGCATCATTACCATGCAGAAATCTATACATTTAAAAGACATGATGTTCACTAGGATAGACTGCTACTCTGTATTTAAAGGAACAGAATTAAATGTCTCCCTAGATTTCAGGAAAAATACATTTAAAACTGGTTAAAAATAGTGTGCAGTAATTATGATTTGTAATTAGACATGAATATAAAAAATATATGTTTTCTGTTTATTGATGTGCATGCACAATAAACAGACAACTGAAATTATAACAGGTATTGAAAAAATTGTCCTAAACTTACTGTTAAAGTAGATCATATGTATCACCTTGCCTACATTAGAGGATGAACCCATGTAAAGTCACCAAACTGTAGTGAGACATACAACTTAATGCCACGCCAAGATATCTTTCAAGGTAAATGTAAATTGATGCTTGTCAAGAAACAAAATTGATATATTATGCAGTCCTGGTGTGTTTCCTTTTTCATTTATTACTATTCTTATTTTTATGTCCCTGTGCTATGGCAACAACAATAAACCCTTCTTTCTAATAAAGTCTAGGTGGGAAAGAAAAACAAAGAGAGAAATATGAGAGATGGAAAAAAGTATTTCTTCACCAGTCTTTTTTAGTGCTCTGAAAACCTTTTACATAACGGTATTTTCCAGCAGTGAGACTTCAACTGTCAGTCAAATGTGAGAAATGAATTCAGCTCCATCAACACAAACTGCTGTATCTCATTCTGCCACTCATCTTCCTCCTCTCCAGGGGTTACACTTGATCGACAGTCATATGGGATACTGCTGCCTCAGCAATACTCTTTCCCTCAAGACCGGGGTCCAGTCTCATTAGTCATTTTAATAGGCTCTGCTCAACTGATGCAAGCAGGCTGCAGGGTCGGGGGTTGAGGGGAGCGTTTCAACCAGATAGCATTGACCTTAAGTGGGTCTAATAATTGTTTCATTACTTCCTAGAGGAGAGAGGAGAGAGGAGAGTGTTTGTGTGTGTGTGTGGGTGTGTGTGTGTGTGGGCAAGTACCTATCCAGTGTATCGGTGGGGTACAGCGCTTTGCTAAATGCATCCAGCAGGGAGGCGTGTGTCTGGAGGATGATGATGTTGTAGATCACCACGGCAACCAGCATCACCACCATCTTCAGCTCATAGTTGATCCTCAGGAACACTGAGCACGACACCAGGCCCAGTATACAGCAGTAGATGAAGTACTGGAGGCAGAAAGAGAACATGGTGAGCAAAAAACATTTCTACAGAGGCGTGCGCCCTGATGTGTATGCTCTTCATGAGATTTGTGTCATACACGATGCATGTATCAAAGAAAAAGAAAAAAGAAAAAAGATGAAAATGTAGCTTTGTTTGTTCAGTGTAATAACCGCGGTGAGTCAGCCAACTTACAGTATAGTTAGGAAGCAAGAACAGAACTAGAAAATATACCAAGATTCTTATATAACAAACCCATTTAGTTTATGTAAAACCAAAGAGTGATACAAATGGCCTCCATGTTTATTAAGAATGAGCAGGACAATGAATGAAAGCTTGGAGCTTTAACAATTCCCCTATATATCTGACAACCTGGCGCCACTGATGACTAAAATAAACATATTGGTTTCTCTGGAGCGATTTTTTTTCTTGCTTGGTGTGAAACTATGTTATCAGCTTAACAGATTTGAAACTGCTATACAAAAGTTTCCTTGTGAAACTGGCAACTGGC